ACTTAATAACTCACCTCGCCTGAGGTATACCAATTGCACCTGCAAGGAGTCGATAAACCTTGTGTTCGAACTGAAGTTGTGGATGTTTAGCATATATATTTTCCATCTTGACTGCAACTTCCTGAGAGGAAAAGAGAAACATTCATACCATTACCAAGATCCCTATATACCAATTAACCCAACATTGAGATGCAAGGTGACACCAAATACAGAAACCACTTGCAAAAAATGATAACTTACCTCACCCGTCAGTTGATTGACCCCAGGTATATATCTCCGAATGACCCCGAACCAATTTTCCGCATAAGTCTGTACTTATCATTGACTAAGATATCAGTTCTCTGTCTGTTAACAAGGTCCGCCATATTTACTGACTGTTTTCCCGGCCAAGCAGTTCTCAATCTATTCAAACACTACAAGCAATTCTCTCTCTTTGTCAGACAGAAATAGCTGACAGGACGCCTGAAAAACATCGTATTCAGTGAGTATCAGTAAACAAATCCCCGAAATGAATAGTTCTGCAAGTTTCCGACATTTGATGCCGACCTCATGAAACCTACTGGACAAACCTAGCTGAAGGCGCTTGGTCCCGTATTCAAACCAGATCACCAGTGGGCAGGCCGTGCTATGCATCTCCTACGGGCGTTAGTCAGATTAGATCAAACGCTTTCCGAGATACCTTTCAAATATAACTACAAACTTCTGACTTGACTGGGTTAGCATACATCAATTATAAATGTGTTACTAGTGAGGGCGTTGTCAAACTCCGAATACTTATGACCTCTTCAGTGGTGAGACCGACTTGAGCTGGCACACCAATTCACAAACTGTAGATCCGTTCCTCTCTGAAACATTATCTTCTATTTTTAAATTTTTGGCCCGATAATATCGAGGCTTGGTTCTGCTACACAGTAGCTGACTTCCACGAGCGTGGCGTGACAGACACGCGTGCACAATTCCTCTAACAATTTCATTAGTTACGCCACACTTGGTATATCCACTAGTTATGTATCTGAACCTTAAGAAGCTTTTAAAAAAGCTATCCTTGAACGTGGAGCCCTAACTGACTGACAAAAGTTGGACCAGCTCTTCTGCGGCTCAGCAACAGAATTGTTTTTACGTGAGCGAGAGGTCACTTGTCAACGGACCTTTGATGAGATGCCTTTTAGATATCTATTCTTGTCTGAGCTTCCCCGATAAGTGCAGATAATGCTTCGAAACAACTCTATGAACGAACTGGCTGCATCTGCCGACCGGATTTTGGAGACTACACAACTCTAAACAATGAGGTCTATTCAGTCAAACAGAAGCCTCAAACATCACGAAATGACGTCACAGAACTCTGAGGTACTCTGAAACGTTAGCTTATTATTCATCGTGGCCGTATACGCCTCCAAATTCCTCGAAGCATTTCTTCACGAAAACTAGATCTTGAGGTAAACAAGACTGATTGGTGCTGGTACGATTATAACTGCATTTCTACGTGTTCCAAACCAACTGACACGAAAATTCCTCCATAAAACTTCCTAGTTGGTACGCGTAGCCTGAGAAAATATCCGTCTGTTATACATCACTGACGTGATGATGAAAGTTCGCTACCTGGTCGACACTGGCGCAGAGATTAGTTTTCTTCCAGAAATTTCAAAAGGCCAACTGTACAAATCAGTTTTCAACTTACAGGCAGAAAATGGGGAACCAATTGCAATATATGGTAAGAACTATGTTTCTTTTAACGTGGGTTTACGTCAATCCATTCATTGGATTTTAGTTGCTGCAGATGTTTCTATGTCAGCCATTGGGTATGGAGCTGCTACAACACCATATGTTGCTTATTGACACGCGCAAATGGAGCTTAGTAAACGGAAATACTTTTTCATCTGTTTGTGTATCTTCCTCATCTGGTTACTCTAGAAGTCAGATAGGACATCGGCCTTACAACCTCCGAAGATTCTCGAGGCTCACCTTACGCCTTTTACCCGGCCGCCAACTAGCATTCTCCCTCCCACCCTGTCATGAGCCTTCCCTACTAGTTCTATCCAATTGTTCCTCATTCTTCTCATGCCGGTCTCCATTTCTCGGCATATTGTGTTCTTTGTTCTTCCTGGTCACCCTTGACCTTGAGGATTGCAAGTGAGTGCTTGCCTTGTGCAGTAGTTGGGTCCTATCCACTTCCAGCACTTCTTTCTGATTTCTTCCTCCGCTTGAATCTGTTTTGTTCTCTCTCACAGTAGGTTGTTACTGATAGTGTCTGGACAAGGGATCCGAAGGTTTTTTCGTAGACAACTGCTAATAAACACTTGTATCTTCTGAAGGTTGGCTTTCATAGTTTTCCAGGTTTCCGCCCCATCACAATAAAACTGTCTAGACATTTGTATTGAAAATTCTGAATTTGGTGTTGATCGACAGTTGTTTGGAGTTCCAGATGTTCTTCAGTTGTAAATATGCTGGTCTTGCCTTGCCAATCCTCGCCCTCACATCTGCATCAGACCCACAGGGTTCATCAATGGTGCTGCCCAGATATATAAAGGTTTTTACATCTTCCAACTTTTCTCCGTCAAGTGTTATCCGATTGGTGCAAGCTGTATCATTTCGAAGAATCTTGCTTTTCCTTTTGTGTATGTTGAGACCTACTGATGCTGATGCTGTTTCCACACTGGTCGTCTTCTCCGGTATTTGTTGTTGCGTGTGCGATAAAAGAGTCAGATCGTCTGCGAGGTCTAGGTCGTCCAGCTGCATCCTAGCTGTCCACTGTACATTATGCTTCCCCTCAGATATTGACGTCTTATGATCCAGTCGATCACCAGGAGAAAGAGGAAAGGTGAGAGTAAGTAACCTTGCCCGACTCCGGTCGTTACTTCGAACGAATCTGTCAGCTGTCCTCAATACACGATTTCGCAGTTTAATCCATCACAGGAATTCCGTATGGTACTGACTATCTTCTCAGGCATGCAGTAGTGTCGAAGCATCCATAGTGTTGTCTTGTCCGCAATATCGACTGCTTTCTCGCAGTCAATGAAGTTGATGTAGAGTGATGAATACCATTCAATTGATTATTCCACAATGATCCGTAGTGTTGCGATTTGGTCTGTATTCCCCAACATTGATGTCGACTTCATTATTTTTACAGCACACACCTTAGCTGATTGTGCTCGGCGAAGTGTGCCCACCAGATCACGTTTGGGTACGGTGTGATGCACATCTTCCAAAACATCTTGGATTCAATATTCTCGACAAACCGATCATTTTTGAATCACTTATTTCCTAAATTCTGGTTTAACTTGGGTTCTCGTTAAGGTGTTTAACGGGCGGTAGAGTTATAAAGTTATGAATATCCATGACATCCTAATTTCTTTTTACAGTGAAAGTATGTCAAGTTTAATACAACAGTTTGTATAGCATGCAAAGCTATTATACAAATTGCTAGAAACGAACTCAATTTATGTCAAAGTAAGACATTGCGTCACTGGATAAAAATTAAGCGGATTCAACGAAGAAAATTTAATTTTCGAAAGAGCTATTTGTTTGAGCTTAAGCAAGTGTATAGACTTCCGTTGGTAATTCCAAAACAGTCAAGCAGCCAATCACGATGACATAGGCATTACCATTTTCGCCACTTTCGTGAACATAGTAAATGTTATGTAACATCCCGTGTATCTCTGGATTTTCTATCGCATAAGTTGGGAGATTAAAAATCCCAAGGGCTAGTTAGGGTGCAGCTTGTTTGGTTTTTACCTCGCCGGTTTAAGCAAATAACAACCAGAGGAACGTCAAACGGCTCACCCTACTGAAATCATATGCACCATGGCCTTCATCAAACACCAATATCACAGTGGACCAATTTAGCCACACAAAAGCCACATATACTATCGGCAGATATTTAACTTCAAGGAACTAATTCTATATAACAAAGCCTATCGACTATTTAAATTGTAGGTTATTAAGACTTACCTGTGAACGAAGAATGATTACCCAATCACTGATGGATAAATACACGGATCAAAGCCAAATCAGTAAAACTAAACATAGTTTCGAATATTTTTCCAATAAGACTTCCACTAAAGGTTTACTGAGCAGTAATCATTATCAACCTAGGGATTCAAGCCAGTTAAACATCACTTATCGCTTTAGGGTTGTGCAGAATATTAAGTTATTGATTGAGATTTTGAACCGATTGATTTTGGACCACCGTTGGAAGCCTGGAAGCACTGGACGGCGGTTTCGTCCTACTGTGGAACTCCTCAGCAGTGCGCATCCGGGATCTCGCTCGTGATATTCGAACCCAGGTCCTTCAGTTTCGCGAGCTAACGCCTATCCTCTAGACCACTGATTCGGCATTCAACGGTGTTAATGTTTAACCTCAAACAATCGGCGAAATCGTGCAACTGGATGCGCACTGCTGAGGAGTTCCACAATAGGACGAAACGACCGTCCGGTGATTTCAGGTTTCCAATGGTGGTCTAACATCAATCGGCTCATGATATCAATCAAAAGTATCATTTAAGCATCGTGTGAATGTGTCCTGATTAGCGAAGCCGGACACTGATCACAAAAGTATAAATATAGCAAGATTCGGAACTCTAATAATTTTTAAATAGAAATTATGCTGTTATATGTAAAACCCATCAACCAAGTAAACAGAGAAATGATCATATTTTCTGGAGGTGATATACATGGTTGGTGCCGTAACGAGTATATTGATAATCTACACTGACTCACGGCAGGCTGTCTGTCAGTTTGTAGCGTTTCCGCCTCTCATTATTATATATGTGTGCAATATCTACCGTCTTTCTTTTCATTTCAAGGGTGAGTGCTGAATATCAGAGCACAATTTTTATTCAACAGTTTCGGACGCTCTTCGATAGTATGTTCACAGAAGACATATATTGATGCATTTGCGTGATTAAAATGAATTTCATAAGGAAAATTATACTTACATATGATGTCAGGGGACAAAAGGTGGATGACAAGATGGTCGGATATGCTAGCTGCTGAACCCTCATTGAACATAGATGAATGGCTATACTTACACTTTAGAAATCCTGCCTTCAAAAAATACTTGTCATTACCGGAGAATGTCTTATTCATGCGAGACTCGTAAGTTTTAAAGACAAATTCTGTATTCCCAAAGTCTGCTTACTCTCTGGCAAAAACTTGACACTGAAACGTTTAGGTCATATTCTACAGGTCACCTTTTAAGTGGATTTACCGGCCACAGATTGGCGATTGGAAGTTGGAGGGTTGTCGCGCTTTTTCAAATTGGTAAGATGAGTCGGAATATATATTACTCCGAAAAATACTACGATGACATCTATGAATACAGGTAAGCCTAAAATGAACAAACAATTGCCTATTTAAAATTACAGACACGTTCACCTACCGAAAGATTTGGCGAAACAGGTACCTAAAAATCACCTTATGTCCGAAATGGAGTGGCGAAAGTTGGGAATTCAACAGTCAGCTGGTTGGGTGCACTATATGATCCATGAACCAGAACCACATATCATTCTGTTCCGACGTTCACGCACTGATATACAACAACCAACATCATCTGCTGCTAATAAGACAGAATCTGGTCAAGTCCCTATGCATGCATAACTGTTAACTTTAGCAAACTGCGTGTCAAGTTCTTCTTTGTTGGAAATCGTTAAATAATATGTCACTGAATCACTGCTGCGAAATGCTTATGTATATACATTACTTTCTATAGATGTTTATATTACTAGGTACGTATGTACCTATATTCACTTTGACGCATGAGTGACTTTGTTTTCAATTGTCATGTGGTGATTATAGGTCTAACGGTTGTTAAGCTACTTGCGAACTGAGCATGACGTCATAAGGTACTATGGTGTGACTCTGGCAGTTCATTCACCTTCATCTTAATCTTTTTGCAAATGTTTCTTTGTGCAACTAGTCGTGTAGCTTCATTCATTCGTTATCGTCTCTAACATTGTACTGAGTAAGCTAATGCACGATACTTTCTTACTGTTTACAACAGTGGACCTTAAGGAAATTACACAGCCACATTCTAAGTAGTACAACGTCGTTATAAATGTATTATTAGTATGTAGTACTCTATGCTTATAAAACCCACACAAAAGAAACCACGTGTCTTAAACCAGAATAATTTTGTAGATGCTCGAAAAACACTGGGATATACACAAATTGACGTGAATTAGTTCGTGTGTTATGAAAATTTACTTCCTACACTTAGGATAATTTTCGGTAAATAAGTTACTAAGCTCCGATTCCCACGTCAAATTATGGAATCTGGAGTAACCTTTTTTGTACATGATCGCTGTTACAGAAGGCTTATAATTTCTGTGCAGGTTTTCGTTTGATCATACCTCAATCAAGTATTTGTAGTAGATTCAAACGACTTTGGGTCAAATACACTCTTAAACTGGTTAAAATCTAAGGTGGACGTGATCCACTGTAGTGACCCGGGCAACGGCTCACTGTAGATGTGCACAATCTTACCGCTTTATCTATACATAGATCAGAGCTTCTAAAGAATTTCATAGCTTCAGAAAATGTTAGAGATATGTTAACAGGTTCCCTATCTATCGATGAAGCTGAATAATATCCATTACTGTAGTTTGCAGGTAGGTTTGTTTTGTAGTCGCCATATTTAGTTCAACAGGTGAGATTAAACGTAAGAAATTGACGGAATTAAGTAGGTCCTGACAGCTATTAAAAGTGCTCTGGTAACTCAAGGAAATTAGCACATTAATAACACTAGACATTTCTCTCGGATGTGATCTAATGTTTCTGAGAGTATGCCTAGTTTAGAGATGTATATAGGTAAATAACTGAAAACTATGGGATGCTAGAGATATTTCATTCTTAAATATGATTTTCTCACTAGAGCAAATGAGTATTCACTTACATTAAATGGGGTTCGTATTGTGTTTAGTTAGATGCAGCTCAGAATTCTTGACGATTTACTCCAGCTCGGTGATTCCACAGTAATTTTTCTAATATGGTCGTTTTAGGGATCGAGACATTTATTCAAAGCGTGGTGATGCTATCAAACTATTAAAACCTAAGCGCTTAGTAAGTGGATCTAAGAAGACTTACTTCAGACCAGTGGATAGAGAAATCAGAGGGAAAACCGATAGCTCCTAAATGAGACTTTACTCTTTGGTTTTATGGAGTTTTAGTTTTCCTCATCCGGAATGTTGTATTTGATTTGTGTGTAGCTGTACTTCGCTCTTGAGATAATAAGTTTTTCCCGGTTGATGACCTATAATTTTAGAACACAAATATTTGATGGCCTGCACCATGAGTACCACCTAATGTGAACTGAAAAAAATTTAAGAAAGTAATTTATTTTCAACAACGTCCTTGGTTCTCTTCGTGTTTTAGAGATAGCCACGAAAAAGAAATAGTGAAGAACTTTTGAGCGCATGCAAATTTGTGTTGGTTTAAGCTACCATCATCCTTCACATTCGAAAAGGAATCAACATAATCAATGTTTCCTTACTTAGAAAGTATATAATTTTGTAGGTGATGGTTATGTAAAAAATGATATTTCTCAAAATTAAAACGAATTTGGTTCGTATCACATAAGGTTTCCAGTCATAAATTACCAATACTTTGAACTTTATTCACGGAAACTACCTACCCGAAATCAGGTTATCTGTTGGTAAACTAGTGTTACTAGTTAATATTACTTGCATCTGACAGTCCAAAACTTCGCAAGTATACATGTGCATTTTCCTAGTTAGTATACCAGTAACTATTCCCGGTTCTTGTTGTCTGTCCCACTGAACAGGACTTCCGCACGTCATGCTGTGAAAGTTGGATCTAGAAGCACTTCGGAGCATATGCACTTTAAACAAGCTACCCCGAAACCAGCCGATAATCTGTTCCCTCTGGTAAGGCAAAAAACAAATAGAGTCATCCTAAATCTATTGCAAAACCTGGATTTTTTCCAGTTGTATTTATGAGTAAAAACATACTCTTAATTCTAAAGTATCACAGAAATTTAGAAAATATGTAGTCATTCATGGCATTGTAGTTTTCTGTGAAGTGTCCGTTCCAATCCATGTTTCCTGAGTTGAGTTTTATGTGTACAAAAGGATTCCAAACATTAATACATTCATCGGTCATGGAGCAGTAACCAATGTTATTTGTTTTCAGTGTTCGTGAAGTTCTCTCGATGACTTTGCAGCTTGGTAGGTAAACAATATTAATATTACTCAGCGGTCAGTCATCGTATATATCCTAATCTTACGTGAGGTCAGTCACAACCCAAATAGCTTAATGGTTATATCTTCGTAGCAATTGTTTCCCTGGAAATATAGATACGGTGTGTCGGTTAGTTTCTACAACTGCTAAAACCTAGTTCTCAGGTTTCCTGCTAATAGCCTACGACTGCCTGATGTCTTTGAAATACGTTGGCTTCGCAGAATTGATTATGAGGAGGCTTAGATTGCAGTCTTTATGGTAGATTTTGCTGTACATAATCCGATAAACCCTTTTTCCAACTAAAATCATGAAGGCCCTGCACGCGGAAGTTGTTGATTAAGACTATATTTTGGAAATACATGAGTGCTACGGATGCTCGTGTAAAGTAACATTGTAATAGACAGGTAAGAAAAGTAGACCCATGTGTCTATAAACTCACTGTCGGCATTGTATCTAGGTGCTAAAAAGTGGCAAATTTAGATTCGTCGGTTGCAGTAGTTTAGTCTTACGGTGTTGTACACCATGTTTGTACTCTAAGTTATTGATATACCAAATATCGGGTGCTGCTCTGTTCAACGTAATCAAATTCGACTATTGATCAGTGTAAATAAAATGCATGAAATCCAATTCATTCGGATGTAATGTCTGATTTATTTTTGGTGCATAATATTTATTTTTCGTCTCTGTCTTCTCATTTGCAATGAGTCATACAAATCATTGTTTAATTACAACAAGTTCTAATATGTTTTGCTCAGTCTGCTTATAATTTAACAGGGATACCTTCCGATAACAACTCAGGGTTTCTTTAGGAGTAGATAAGTTTGTAGACATTTTTTTCACGGGCTGATATCGAAATGTTAGAAGTAATGGGGAGTTTTTTCGCAGTAACGTCGAGATTTTCAGCACTGTGCACCGATTACCCCACATAGGAATCGAACTCTAACGTCTTCTGATCTTTCAGGAAAGAATTTAATCTCAGGACACTGAGTTTTGGTCCAGTGGTTCACATTTTTCAGCTTCAAGCGTTTCAGTAGGTACTCTACTCATAGCGTGGTTGAAATTGATATTTCATAACTCCGCACTAACTACTTTCTCTTTAACTTCAGCACGCTATTTCTAGATATATCAGATCATAATGATACGACTTAAATGGTTTGTTATGGTAGACCAATAAGCCCAGTCGCGTTTCAGTTTGATTTAGCGGATTTTACTGGATTTATATTCATATGAATCGGCTTCGTATAAATCCGTTGATTTGTTGGTGTAAAGTAGTGAATTGTTGTAATATGAAAACTAGAGGTCTAAACCAAGTTGATGAGAAATTCATTTCTTTGCATACCAAACTGGTAACTGTAGCAGTTATTCCAGTCATACTGTTGTATATCTTGTGTAATTTCTTTTGGTCCACAGCATGCAGCTGATATCACTTTTGCCAAAACATGGTCTGCTGTATATGAATTACCTTTCTAGCGTGATGTAACAGGTTTTTTTTGCATAAAAATGACTTGCGTGTTAAAATTTATAGGAGAAATCTGTGTTGTAGGTTATGAATTGACGAGATATTACTGGCTATCTTAATTGTCGGTGTGTATAATGTTAGTGTTGAGTTATTCATCATTGCAATCAGTATTGATAGTTTCCGTTTGTAGGTTGTTAGCTCCAAAGAAAGTTAATTTCATCATTTACATTTGCTTTCATAAATTCTAGCTTCACTACATTAAATTTAGTTCGCCATACATAGTCCATACTTTTTAAAAATTCAAGATCCAGTAAAACCCAACATTAATAATAATCTGTAGATCGCAATGTCTATTTTCCAACTCGTTTAAATGTTAGACCGAATATCTGTCGTTATGGCTTTAAAAAGTGTTGAACATAAACATGGTAACATAATATACGTGGTGAGCAGTTACTTAATTCGAATCTGAATGTCATATGAAACTGACTTTTTCTACCAGTCATTTGTGACATGTGGTCACGTTTTGAAGATTAATCACAACTTACTAAATCAGTTATATATGTTAGTTATTAATACTTAATTGTATGACATTATAAACATGTATTCACACAGTAAGTTATTGATAAATGTGTGTTAAATACTATGTAGGCAGTCCACATGTTAAGCCCATATGCCTTATTCTAGATTCTGGACAAGCCAATCTATCCATTCTTCTGAGTCGCGTTTTCAGCTTGTTAATTATTCACTTATCAATCTTAACTGTTTTTATATGAGCGTATGTGCGTACACTTCTTATCCTATTGATCACATATCTGTAGCTTATTTTTGTGTGACTATAAGTATTGATTAACGTTTGATTAAATGGAGTTAACTCACACGCCTTCTCCACCGCGCGTCGTTTTGTTTCGCTCACTTCTCTTTGTCCATCTGATTGCCAGCCCAGATCAGTGAGTGTGCAAAATATATGTATTCGAAACCCATTCTTGTATTTGACTTATTTAATTCCGTTATGTACTAACGCGGATTAGGTCAATTATTATATACGAGGATTAACGATGTATATATTTCAGTAATACCCATGCTATTCAATTGCAGTCAGATATAGGGCACAAAAGGCTAACAAAAAAATTATAAATTTAAAGCTTTGTCTTCTAATAAAAAAGACATGAAAGAACAGTAGAGATTCATTTCAAATAAATTTAACTTCTATGCTCATAAGATCCTTAACTGTTTTATTACTTAGATCCTGGGAACTGTGACCCGGGTGGAGTAAGAGCTCGAAGACGATGCATAAGGATTTGACTTGTAGTGTCGGTTATTATGTTAAGCCCATATACCTTATTCTAGCTTTCGGGTAGCCCATTCTATTCATCCTACTTG